AGGTGCTCCCTGGTGCCAAGTGCGAGGGTGCTCCACAGTGTCATGTGTGTGAGAGCTACCGGGGCTGCGTAGGTGCTCCTTGGTGTCAAGTGTGGGGGTGCTCCACAGTGCCGTGTGTGTGCACACGTGGGAGTGCTCCCCACTGCCTTGCCAAGTCTTGGGCCCCCAGGCAGATCCTCATGGCTGCGCCAAGCGACTCCTGGGCGCAGGTCCCTCTGCCTCCTCACGCAGTACTCTTCACATGTAACTCTCCCTGGAACGCGTGTTTCTTCGCGCTCTCCGGTCACCTGAGTGATCCGTGGTTTCCTTTGCGAGAGCAGCTAAGGTGGGTGTGAGGGAAACGTGTGGAAGCTGTGGACAGCAGAAATCTCATGTAAGTGTCGCTTTCCTCTGGTCCTTTCTTCCTGCAATTGCATAACCTGGGGCCAAGCTTCCACCATCAGGAAGGGTCGCGGGATGTAAATACAATATGAGGACGCGAACACGGTGCTGGTGCTGTGACCGACTGACACGTGGTGGGATTTCTGTGTTGGGGGAAGGTACGGACCAGCCTGTGTGTCTTACGCGTACTTACGCACGTGCAGCTCTCCCGTGTCCGTCACAAATTGTTACTTAGGAAAGAAGTTTTGCGTTTTTACCGATTTATAGGGATTATTTTAAAAGCCTTTTTTGTGAAATGGTCTCTTGTGAAGCTGGTTAACGTTCGTAAGAAGACGCTGAGATGACCAAGGACTCCTGGAGTCAGGGTCTAGACCGGGGGATTCCATCGAGCCCCTGGGAGTCCTGGGAGCACCTCCCTCGCCGAGGGGAAGATCGGGCGCTTCCGGGCTGCGCTGCGGACTTCAGGACAGGGCAGACCCAGCTTTTACCCACTTGATGGATGGACGACCACATACGGTTTCTTCTCAGTGGTCGGTTTTGTGGCTGGGAATTGTGCAAAGTGTCAGTTTTCAAACCAGGAACAGACTCCAGGAGGCCAAGTGCCAGGTCACCAGCTGGGCTGTGCTCACACCCTGTCAGGCCGGGGAGGACATGCCCCTTGCCTGGAGGACCGGTGGCAGAGGAGGGCACAGAGATGGTCCCCTGTGGCCCAGCCACTGATGGCAGTGTGAGGGAGCCAGCAGACATGCTTGCACGTGCCCTGTGTCTGGTGCTGCGTCTCCCGAGGCCCAGGAAATAATCACACGCCGTA